ATATATAAAAATGTTTATATTTAATTTATTCATTTTGTACGTACAAAAGGAGATAGGTGCTTCGTTCATTATTTTTAATGCGTGTATCGTTCGTTGCCCTTCGCATTTCAAGTAAGTAAGAAGAAAAGAAAATGGATTCGCACTGCCGTTATTGATCGATCGGTAATAATGATAAAAATAATATTGCTGACAAGAAAATATTCCAACGAGCGAGACAAAATTAGCGTATATTATAAAATTTAATAACGAACGAACGGACGCTCTGTTGAGTCTTTTTCCTCGTATTGTTCGTTCTGGTCGCGTTAGGCAATAATAATTCGATTAATGATCCGTACTACCGTATTGCTCGATATATCAACGATACAAAAGAATAAAAATAAACAATATACAACTTCCAATATTAAGACTGTTGGCGAATATGCCAAATTTTTTAGCATTTATCAACGATGAAGACACAAGAGAGAGAGAAAGAATGAGACGATCGATTAAAATTCTCACAAAAAATTCCTTCTTCGATTAGATCATTAAATGGGGTAACTTATACGATTAAAAACGATGATCTTTTCTAACAGAGAACTAGATTATTCCTCTTCGGCGTAAAAATACAAACCAAAAAAAAAAAGAAATAAAAAAGGCAACGTATAAATATCTAAGTTCGATCGCTGTCATCATTTAAAGGTCTCGATTCACGCTAAGGTAGACGAGTCATAGAAATAAAATAGAAAACTGCCAATGAGCGACATGCTACTGCCATAAAAAAGATAAGAAAAAAAAAGATAATATGAAAGAACGAAATGAAAAGAAGAGCACGAAAAAATCTTTTTATACGACTTAAGAATTATTGAAACAAAACAATTTTTTTAATATATATATACATATATATATATATATATAAAAATTAAATAAATAAATGAGGAACTGCGACACCGCAAGCGAACTACTTAAAATATACACGCACGTTAAATTCAAAATATTATCGTAGCTTTAATTGTTATTAACAGTTATCGCACTTCGTAGAGCTCTGTAACTTCACGTAGAAAGACGCGGATCGTGGTGAATACGAGATGAAAATAAAATTAAGAGTAAGCGAGTAAGATAGTGAGAGAGAAAGAGAGAGAGAGAGCAAGTTAGGAAATTGTGTTGTAAAAATGAAACTCGTTATACGCGTGTAGGAAAGAAAAAATGACTCGTTCGATGGGGGAAAAAAAAAGAAAAACAAGAAAGAAATAAAGGAAGTAAGAAGAAACACAGTTAGAGTATGTAGTTAAGAGTTTTCGAAAATATCGACGTTGAGAATATTTAAGAGAAAAAGCAACATTCGGTGTTAAGGAGTAGGCGGTGCCGAAGACGGGGAGAATGAAAATAGGCGGGATAAAAATAAATCGGTATAGCAGTAGGCCAGTAAAATGCAAAAATAGAGATTCCAGCATTTGAATGCGTGTCGCAGCGAACAGAGATTCGATTACTACCAAGAACTTCCCCCATTTGTTCATCTTCATTCTTGTTCCATATACCTACCTCTTCAATTTCCATCATACATTATGTATATACAATAATAATATATGAATGTATGTACGATGCGTATGAATGTATGTATGCATGTATCTATGTATGATCGAATAAGCAAGTATGTTCGATGAAAAAAGAATCGAGTTATTAGTGTTTCAAAGATTTTAACATGAATTTCAAATTTTATTTTGTTTTTCTTTTCTTTGTGTCCATTTATTTTGTTCTATTATATTATATATATATATTTTCACAGAAAATGTAATTTAAAAGAGAAAAAGTTACGAAACGTATGTAAGATACAAAAATTTCGATTCGACGCACGTAAGTAAGTAAGTAAATAAGTAAGTAAATAAATAAGTAAGTATATATTTACGTAAATTCATAAAGAATATTAAAAAATAGTGGGGTGTAATAAAGAGTGGTGGGGAGTGGTAAGCATGAGTCTAGCTTTGAGATCACGTGCTTAGTCTTATTTTGACCTCAATCCTTGTTACACTTGTATGACCCGTCTTCTTCAGTAGAAACAAATCTTTTGATTAACGAATATCAAGATAGTACAATAATGATAAACAATGATCTCTTATATTAGTTATTTTTTTTTTTTTTAGTAGGAGACTGATACGCGTGTGTTGCATGCAAACGAAAAAGAAAATCGCTCTCTTCGCAAGAATAAATCAATTCGTTCATTGTTAATATTTTTAAATTTATCTTTATTCAAACGAACGAACGAACGAACAAAGAAATGAAGGAACGAACGAACAAACGATCTCCCGATCGATATTTTTCTCTATGTTTTTTACATTTTCTTTTACAAGAACGATCTCAACCTCCAACAGGCGCGAGGGCTTCCACTAAACTCTATCAACAAAATATAATAAAATAAAATAAAATAAAATAAAGACTATAAAATACTTTCACCTTATCGAATAACAACAATCTCGAGTTTATAAATTTAATCATTTCCATTCTCTCGTCGTCGCTGATTCGCGCATATTTCGATCGGAATCCAACTGCCAAGAAGAGAGCGTGTGTCGAGTCCGTCTACCGTGAAAAAAAAAAAATCAATAACAATAAGAAATAACAGTAATAATAATAATAATAATAAACAATGAAACAATGATCTAATGAATATAATAACGGTAGCGATTAAATGATTAAAACGATATTAACGCTCTAACGTCCCACTGATCATAACCACGCGTCTCTGTATATATATTATATACTACTTGTACTATATTTATATTTTATATGTACAAATTAGCCATGTAATTTCTTGTAATAAAGACGAATTTGCAACGTAGATTGTCGAGAGGAAGATTGAACGATTCAAATAGAAAGAAAGAGAAGAAAGAAAATGAATATAATGGAAAAAAAAAAACCAACTTTTTTTTTTATTTAGTATTTTACTCATCAATTAATTTCAAATCTCATTTAATGGAATTAAATTGAATATGCTAATGTAGGATTCAACTGTATGTAATGTTTGGTAAAGAAATTTGTCTGACAGCTATGACATAACTAATGGATATTTAAAAGATTGAAAAATCGAATAATGAGAAATGATGGAAAATAAAATAATAATAATAATCATAATAATAAGACCGTTTTATTTCTTCTTTTTCTGCTTAAGAAACATTCATCGTTTGGAAGGAAAAAAAAATAAAATATTGTAAACGAACGATCACAATCAATCATCCAATTAATTCCCATCTAATACAATTTCTTCTATTCTTTTTTTTTTTTTTTTGTTCTCTCTCAACTATCGTTGTAAAGTACTTATAAGGTAAGGAAGATATAAAATTATCTAAAAAAAGAAGGTATGTCATCGAAAGAGTTAAGGAAGATTAGACTACTCCTTAGATATTCGGGACGCAAAGTGGATTATCCTTGGAAGTGAGTTAGGCTGAGCAACGAGAAGGGTCGATGATTAGCGTAATTAAAGCTATAAAATCAGGGCCAATGATACGTATCGTAACACGTAAGGCCAACGAAGCCTTGGCATTTGAACGATTTTAATCGAAGATACAATTGAATTTAACGTCATGTTAGTTAATCATGTAAAATATAATAGATGAACGAAGATAGTGTATCATTTGCCTTCATAAAAAAAGCTATCCTTTAGAAAATATTAACTTTGTTCGGTGCGAATATGCTCGATCGCATAAGCGACGATTAAAATTGTACGAGGCGGTATGAATTTGACGTGGTGGTTGGGAAGGGGGGGGAGTGGAGGGGGGGGGAAAGCTTGTCAAAAGCGTTTCAACGTTAAACGTCAAAAACACCTGTCGATGTCAATTAGATCGTTCATTGTTATTCGAAAGATCATTTTATCTTATCAATGTACCTTACGTCCATAGTAATAAATCGCATAACGACAATCATTGAATAATTATCTTAAGAATGAACAGAGAAAGAAAGGTCGAACGACTCGGTAGACATCTCAGATCGTCTAATCATTCAATATCGCATCTGTTACATTAGCTAATCCGAGGACATTAACATGTAAACGGTGAACTACCGCGTTGCGTGTCTTGCTAACGTTCTAATTACGCGTGGGACATATTTTCTACAGAAAAGACTCATACGTACTGATCCAATCGTTATTTTTACTAAAATTTTTCAAAGTTGCATCAGTTGTCTCCTTGAGGAAATATTTTTACATAATTAATAATGTGGTAGTAGGATCGGCAACGAGAGATTATTAACGTTGAGCTTTGCGATAAAAAGTAGTTCATCATTACAACATAGATAAAAAAGACGAAACGTGACGAGAGATATTTAAGATGGTTATATAAATTTATTGAGTTTTATTAACATTTTTATCTATATACATATACTTAGGCACAATATGTTCAACATTTTTGTAACAAGTTTTAATGCTAAAAATTCGCGCAACACGTTAAAATATAAGCACATATATCTTATGTATTTATCGTTTCGATCGTTAGTTTTTCGCAAATAAATAGGTGTACAAATAAGAAGAAATAAAAAAAGAAAAAAAAAAAAAGAAAAAAAAAAAGAAAACAATTAAACGTGTACATGACTAAAGTAGAACTGTTCCTTTTTACTTAAGTTTGCCGTGTTGGACGCGAAGCTTAGCCCTTTTATTTATTCGTCTGGATGGGCATCGCGGCAAGCTGCCAGACAAATAAATCTCACGCACATAGGACGACGATGAAGAAGAAGAAGGAGAAGAAGAAGAAGAAGAAGGAAAAGAAAGAGAAAAAGATAGAAGAGAAGAAGGTTAAGAAGGGTGATGAGGAGGAGGAGGAGAAGTAGAAGGTGGAAAAAAGAGGTGGAAGAGTAGGAGACGCCTTCGTACGTTGAAGTAAAACGAGATGATACTTTCCCGCGTCGTTGAACGATCTAATCGTCCATCGTCCTCTCTATCCACTTTTCTACTATATTGTCGAGAAGATAAATAGAAAAGGAGAGAGATAGATAGATAAAGATAGAGAGACAGACAGACAGAACAAAAAATCTAGGTGGATGTAGGTTGAAATGAAAATCTTTTTCCTCTCGTTGCCGATTGAAATCTAACAAGAGTTTGTACGTAGGTAACATGGGGAAGGGGGCAAAAACAAAAAAACGAAACTAAAATAAAAAAAATAAAACATGAAAGAAAGAGGGAAGAGGATGGATCTGAACGTGAACGAACGTTCGACAAAATTATCGCTTGGCATGAAAAATAATAAGAAGAAGAAGAAACGAGACGTTGAGGCTGCTGCTCGGAGGCGGCAGATTAGGGGGCGGCAAGAAGTAGAGAAACGAGCGAACGCACGAACAAGAAAAAGAAAGATAGACAGACAGATATAGTGTATGTGTGTGTGTATGTGTGTGTGAGAGAGAGAGAGAGAGACTCGCATGAGCCATTTTCGAGAGAACCGATCTCTCGGCAGTAGCGTTAAGACAGTCCGAGAGAATGGCTCGCGACAAACGTTTCACCGGCGTTTCGTGTTTGGCCCTGGTCATCCTCCTTCTGTTCGTGCCATCTTCGCATGCTCTCTTCAAGAACGATCTCTACCCTTACAATGTTCCAGGAGCGAATGCACTCGAATACGACGCCAATGGGATTCTTCAATCCATCGAAGCGATTCTCAAAACGCCTATTGTTTTTTACGATAAAGTCTACAATAGCATATTCGTGAGTAAACCTCGAATAATATCTCGTAAAACTATCCACTATTTTTTTCTATTTCATCATAAATTTTATCAGTATTTTTTAATAGGAATATTTGAGACTTCGTTGAAGTTCTTAAATTAGTGTTCAATAATAGCTTAATTTTCATTGTTTGTGTTATTTCTTGATACTCTTTTGGTTTCTTTTTTGGATAAGACAAGATTATTCCTACCAATTTATGATCAATATATAACATACACATACACACATATGACATACTCTAAAAATAATATATATAATAAAATAATATCTACTATTTATATATAATATTTCGTATAAGATAAATTTTCGAAGAGAATTTGTTTTGCTTAGAAAAAAATATGATATCGGTTTTATAGTCCGTTTGTAAATAGAGTCTTTATTAGTGAGTATATTTAGAAACTCTCTAACGTCTGATTTTTATTGGCGCGAGTTCGTGTTATTCTCTTCTGTAACACGAGCTAGGCGACCGATATTAATTGTCGACTTTGTTCTCTACGATAATTTCGACAAGACTTACTTCAAGACGACTCTATTACCTCGCTAGTCCTGATAATTCGAGTTCTTCGAGAGTAACGTCACCATAGTTTGACTACGAGTATTATTAAAACAATAAAGCATGTAGGAAAGAAATGATTAATTCCGAAAATTATTAGCTCTATAAATATATATAATTTTTCTTTTTTTTTTTTATAATATGTTTTTATATTTATCTGCCTCATTTACTTTCTTTCTTTATTTTTTATTTGGATCTATATATATATATTTGGATCGAGTATCCTAATTTAATAATATTAAATTTTGTTGCTCTTCTCTATTTTCACGTTCTCTTTCTTTTTCTTTATCCACATATATTTATTTCTATCTTGTTCCAACTTCTTAATGATTTCACTTCGCGAATTTATTTGTAGCATCCGTTCTATTTTTACGTCGCGTTTTCGAGAGACACACGATAAAGTTTTAACATAGAAATTCTTGAGAATAAGAGAAAGAGAGAGAGAGGGAGATAAATTTTTCCGTTCTTTGAATCATATTATCGTAAATAAGGAAACATATATAGATAATATATTTGGTTATGATTTTATTCTTATATCAACTAGAAATATATATATGTTATCGTGAAAGACCGAAATTGAAGAATGTCAAGATTCACATGGTTGAATGTCAACACATACTAAATACGTCGGTTAAACATCGAATATTTGGTATATTTTTATACATTAATATTTCAGACATACACCAAGCGACCAGGTGAATCTTACCATTCTTCAATTTCGATTTTTCGCAGTAATATATCTATATATTATTGACCAATAACTAAAGAAAGAGAAAATATATGAGAATACAAGTGACATAATTAAACAACTCGTTAATATCAATTTCATTCTAGCATTCGGGTAACCGCGAATATTTGTTCATCCTCTTAATTCGTCTGCTGGACTAATCTGTCGTCATCTTCTAGCGTGACACGAATTCATTGAACGTAATGACGGTCAAACGGCTACTTGTCGCAATCGTTTAATTGTACTGGGTCGTCGTACGGGTCCAGCCCTTTTTCTAAGACATTTTAAAGAGAACTTTAACACCTCCAAATACGTCTTCGAGTACCACATTCTCGATCAATTTTACTAACACATTTTCATTCCTTTATATCTCGTTTATAAAAAGTGGAAAGATTATAGAAAATTCAAATTGTATGACTTGATTAATTCTTTAAAATATCATATCAAAATGGTTCGAATAAAAAATGTTAATAAATAATTCACAACCAATTAATAGCTCGTGTAGCACACAACGTTGACATTCAAAAGCAAGAATATTTTACTTTGGAATACGTTTCATAATTTCTATTCATTTAGTTAACTATTTGTAAAGTTTCACTTCGAATAAAACTAACGCGAACTTATATACAGAATATACCGAACTATCATATTCTTCCTTTTGCAGATAGAACAAATTTTTGCATTGTTTAACAAGCATTACCATCAATTAGGGTGAGTTTGCAGTTGCATAGTTGAAACTACGAGTAATTGTATAGCTGCACAATTGAACCGATGTACTCCTGGAAATATTTGTAATAAAGTTATAACTAGACCCACATACCAGTTGTTATTACGTGTACCTTGTATAGATAATTAATTCTCTCTATTTAAATAAGATTTAAAGAATAGATAAAAGAATCTCTCGAATAATTTCCAAGTTTAAACGTCGACAATACGTTTGAGTCAGCAGCGTCCCTGACATCAGCGTCCCAAACATCGATAGGCAGATATGTTTAAATATACAATTAACAACAAAATTCTATAGGACCTGTTACAGTAATTGTGATCTCACTGTTCATGGAATAGCAACGTACTACGTAGTAGCTAGTAGTTCTTATGAATGAACGTTGATTACGTACTATGCCGTTCTGTCTCTCTTTCCTTCTTTTTCTTTTGCTCTTAAAGTGCAAACCTAATTGAAAGATTAATCTCTCTTGCATCGGTTTATTGCGTCTCAAGACGTATGAGCTCATGCGTGGAAGCGTGACGGCCTGTTGCGTTCATTACTTTTTCCTCGTTAGATAGAATCGATTCCGTCAGAATTTATTCTCTACTTTGAAAATCATCATCCTGCCGGGATATGTATTTTCTTGTTGTTTAAAGTATAAGATAATGAAAAAAAAACAATAGTACAACCTCGACTTTAATGTTTTCTTTTACGATAAAAAATATCCCATCGAAAGATTTATTTTTACGTTTCCCTTTTTCTCTTCCTTATTTGTTCTATCTTTTTTTTTTTTTTTTGTTCTTTGCAAAATCTGCACACCATTTCGTACGAACGCGCGAGAATTGCACCCTTTGTAAATCGCACGTAAATGCTTTCAGTCACGCGTTGCAACGTGATTGCGATCTGTCATGCGTCGTTTCCATTCATCGACACGTCAATAATTCAATCGTCCGCCAGAATGATCGTCGCATTATTAATCGACATGCACGTACAAATACGTACCTATAAACCTGCTGTATATACATATAAATGTGTATATTATACACGTTTGTACTAATATACATAGGACAGAGGTTCATGGTCGTGAGTTTTCGTGTCTCCATTCGGTTCGTATTGCTTTCTCGTCGAAACAAGAGCGAGTCGTTTAGAAACAAAATTACATTTCGCGTGTATTAGAATCACGGAAATTTCTCGTCGATATTTTCATTATTAGAGGTGCTTTTTTTGTGTTTTAAATAATCTTAGACACACAAGTACACGCGATCATCATATTGATCAAACTTTTCAGAATTTCAAATTTCGAGAAAGAAATTATTTGATCGATTATATTTTTAACAAAAAATAAGATTAACAAGTTTAGTATTCTTGTCATTTATTTAAGAAAACTTTCAATTTATTTATTGTATATTATTTATGCACGATTTATTACAATTCTTGGTAACACTAATCATATTGTTTGTCTAAATTTTTAAAATGGTGATATCTTTGTTTCTTTTTCTTTCTTTTTATATACAAGTTTAACTTACTTTCGGTAGAATTAGTATAATAAACGTTAGGTTAGAATAACGGGTTAGAGAGTAGACAATAAATGTCTACGAGTGTTTACGGGAGTTGATGCAGTCTAGTCATTTTTAGTTGTATGTATGTATATATGTATGTACATATGTTGGTATATGTGGAATAGACGATTAGACGTTAACGCGGCGCGTGGTCCAACGCTGCAAAATGCTAGCAATTAGCCTTGAAGCTTTCCCACATTAGTCAACGTTTCTCCGGTTAAAGTGAGAGAACAACGTTGAGAAATTTCTAATCGTTGTACTTATGTAAATTGAAATCGAGCTATATTACTTGTTTCTTTGTTCAAAAAATATCCAATAAAATTTAAAAGATTTAATATTATCTAATATATATTAGTTTCATTAAATTCGTTTGAATAAAAATGAAAATTCTTAAATTAATTATACTTACAAAAATTTATTTATGTGTTTACCGTAACAAGATAGACATTCAAAATATAATTAAATAATTTTACTTCATTGTATAGATTTAAAAAAATAAATTCCTAATAAAAATTGCAAAGTTTACAATATTATATAAAAGCAAATTGTATGAAACACCAGTAAAATAAGAAGTAGAATAATTCGATGAAATAATACAAATTGACGTATTATTTATTATCGAAGAACTATCGTAAAAATGAGAGAGATTCAACAAAATATCAACAAGAAAAAATTGAATTTCGGGATGCAAAAAAGCAATTTTGACGACATACGACGTGACGAATTGATTGACACAGATATATATCGCGATATATACATTGACGGGTCTAAAAAGCGACGTTCTAGTTAGGAGCAAAGGCTGCCTACACGACAATCATCTCCGATTCCGTCCGTTATCGTCGACGATTCGCAGTCATCAAAATGATTGCACCCGATTACACGATTGCGTTAGCGCGTGCGGCATGCGTTATCATCGTTGCTCTCCTCATACAAGTTTTACGTAGATACTGCATCATCAGCATCATCAGCGAAAGAGTATCGTCATCGTTTTGTCTTCGTTCGAATACCCTCCTAACACCTAACATCCTCTTTCTAACACATAAACACGTTCTTATTAAATTAAGATTAGATATCGGAACGAGAGATGACATTTCGATTAGTCGAATATTTCAACTGATAAGACGATCTTTATGATCATTAAATGAAAAATAAAGAAACAACTTAATCATTTGAGAATTCTCATTTATATTTCAACACACAACGATTTGAATTGATTAGAATAAATATTTATAATAGAATATTAATATAATTCAAAGATATATTTGAAAAAGGAAGTAATAATAATTGTTTCTAATTTAAATCAATTTATCTAACAATTATTAAAAAGAAGAAGAAGTTTTTTTAATGAGATTTAAATATATCTAAACATATTATGCGACATTATCTTTTCTGTTTTGTTTTGTTTTCTTTTACCACCCTCTCTCTCTCTCTCTCTCTCTCTCTTGACATACTATATTACTTCCTTGCATCCTTATCTATTTGTACAGTTTTCTCTTTTTCATTGACGCTTCCCCACTGCGATTATCCTCACATGAGTGTGTGTCATCGGCTTCGTTCTGACCTACGACCCCCCCGCGATAGCACCGACCGAGATAACATGATCAAGACTCACGCTAGTCTTCGCTAACACGCGAGTGATAAATCTTTCAAATAATCGAATAGATTTAGACGTTTTAGAATCTATCGTCCTGTAAAATCGTTTTTCCCAACTGTTTGTGTTAAGATAGAAAAATCGAAATTTCTCATTTATCTCATTAATTTAAAATTTTATTTACTTATTTTACATAAGCGACGTTTATCGACGTTTTCCTTTTTTTCATATTATAATAAACAAGAATAGGGGGGTGGGGGCAAAGTTTTGTTAATTAGCTTAATTGAAAAATAAAAGAAGAATGTTGATCTTTTAACAATTAAAATCTAGGTTCATTTATAAGAATGTAGGAACTTGTTATGAACTTTAACGATCTTAATTGAAGCACCGAATTAAGGGCAACAAAAATTTAGGCCACTTTTCGAAGGCGGCTAGAGAGATTAAAAAAAAAAAAGAAAGAAAATAATTTATTTCGACTGTCGCGACTATCGTCGGTATTTACTCGCAATTGACGATACTGAAAGATACGTTTCTTCAAAGTCCGATAGCGATTGTATACAAAAAAGTCACTCTATCTACATATACTATAACTTTCTAACGATAACTAGTCCTCCTCGTACTTATCCATGGTCACATTTCTCATGAACATATATATTACTCAAAGTAAAGAAAAAAAATTCTATTAATTCTAATTTTTGTTAAGATAACATTTATCACGTTTCATGGACACACCGAAGTTCAATGAGAATTTTATTATCCCATGTTATGATTGTAAAAAGTATACTTATAGAAAATAAAAAAAAAAAAAATAAAAAACAAAAAATACTAATAAAAACGAATGATATTTTAAATAATGAAAAACAAATCATATTATTACGAAATGAATGACAAATTAATCGGTAAGTAATACAACAAAAATTTAATTCCAACGAGTAATCATTGAAAATCCATAGAAAATTCCTGATAGAATCAGATGTGGAATTCGTTCGTGATAACAAGGTCCCACGTGTACAATGAGAAAGATAGAAAGAGAAAGATAGAAGAGGGATGAGAAGATCTTTCGAGGGAGCTTTAATGTCGTCTCATTAACGAGAACGAAACTTTCTTCAAGAAGCGACAGCTGCGTCTGAGCATCAATTTTGAAGACCTTTCGTTGATCGACGAAAAGAAAAGAGATGAGAGAGGAACGACGAACGGTTGTTAAACATATAAGAAAAAGAACGGGAGGGAGAGAAAAGATAGAACGAGGAACGAAGTCAAAGCACGTTTATGCGAACGCAAACAACCGTCGGTAAGCGTCGGCTAACTTTGAACCATCAAGCGTTGTTGTTGGGTGAATGACATCTCGACGCATTGGAACGCGCTCAAACGAAACGCGTGCTGTGCTGTTGAACCTTTCTCTCTCTTTCTCTTTTTCTCTCTCTCCCTCTCTCTCTCTCTCTCTTTTTCTGTATACGTCCTGTAGAGCTCGTTCATCGTGCCTATCAATTGTCACCGTTGAATTTTGCTCGTGGCACGTGCTGACAATTTACCTGTTGACCCAACCTCCTCCCGTTTATATTCCTTCAATTCTTTATATTTTTGATTGTTTTTCTATTTTCTTTTTTAATCAATATATATTAATTGGTTTTTTTTTTATAATTAATTTTTTTTCCCTCCCCCCTCCGAGACAGAGAAAAATGTCAGAAAGGGAAATTTATATATATTCGTAATCGTATTTGCCGTGGAAAAAGATGAAACAGAGAAATAGAATAGAAATGGGAGGTGGGTAGGGGGAAACGAAGAAGAAAAGATAGAAAGGGTCGCTGGTGGTCGCTCTTTGCGAAAAAAATCATCCCTTTCCTGTGCCACAAGAGGATAAAGGCGAACGCTCTTTATTAGCTTACGTTGGATCCTTCCAACGTTCTCTTAGATTTCTTCGAGCATTAAACATTAACTGCTAGAGATAATTCCTAAAACGGTATATAATCATTGTGACTAGAGAATAACGAGTTTTTTCTTTAATTATAATGTTAAATATAAGCTCTTATAATAATTATTTACATATATATATTTGTATCTTTTTAACTCGTTATTTATAAGAAAAATATATATTTTTGTTACAGATATTCGATATTAATAAACATTTCCTTTTCATAATTATAAAAAGTTTCATCCAATCAAAAGAAACAGAATAATGTGAAATAAAAGAATATTCGACGTTTCTCATATACGATAGACAATTTGCATTTATATTTACAATCAGTCGACAAAATGACTATAAGTTTAGATTGTAGTCAAATTTTTTATTGTAATGATTTAATTATTGGAAAATAATTGTCCTATCTTATTCCATTCTTGTAAATTAGGATTATTTTTCATGCGTTGGATATGGTTTGTGTGTCTTTTTCCTATTTTAATTGTACATTTGAAAAGGTAATTCCGCATACGTACGAGTTCAAAGGTCTTTTTCGCTTAGCGGAGCAGTTTGAGCAAAAGACTCGTTAGTTCGGAACGCGACTCTATTGTCTTCCTTGTAGGAATCTCGTTTCTTCGGTAAATGGCATGGTGTAGTTCGGTACGGGGGTACAGACACGATGGCAATTACGGTCATTAACTGGTAAATGCACGCCAATTGAGTCAGATATTTGATAACGTCATCGCTGAATTTTCAAACGTCTCGCGGAATTCACCTGACTATCGCTACTTTGATTACTTGCGTACTTAAATGCGAAAATTCTCGAAAGTCAAGCCATTTGAATAAGTTTCCCTTCTCGCGCGAGCGCGCGTCTTTTCCAGTTGTTTGACTTTATACTTTGATCTTTCCTATTAAAAAGTCAATCTCGTGTCAGCTTTCGTTTAACTACTTTATTCGTAATTAATCTTAAATTATTACGATCAGAAAATTCATTAGAAAATGATAAAATTATAATTAAGAAATTTCAACATATCTTCACTCTATCATAATTGAAAGAAAAATCATCTGTTCAGGAACGGGTTAATCTTATTGAAGAATCTATTTAAATTTGTTCATTCTACATTGATAGAGAAATCGAGAATAAATCATATGATATATCACGATTTATATTCTTGATTTAAAATGACTTTAATCGGAAGATCAATTATTCGACAAATGATAAATTATATTTAAGAATTATTTTCAAATTGGTTTCTTTTTGATATTAAAAAAAAAAGAAGACTTTTGCCGATAATTGACGTATACTTTGTTTGAACGAGTTCAGGTAAATGCAAACGGCGTCCTATCATTTTCACGAGCAATGCAAAGGTTCTTTAACATCGCCTTTCCATTGGATGATCCGGTGATCGCACCACTCTACACCCACGTCGATACAAGAGCATCAGGAATGATTTATTGGGCTGAGACGGATTCCCCGGAGGTTATTGCGAGAGCAGGTGGAATGATACGAAGCACGTTCAAGGATGCGCTTGATTTCGAGCCGACCCACGTCTTCTTGGCAACTTGGTTAGATGTTGGTTACTATAACGAGAAAAGCGATAAGGTGAACGTTCGACTTTTTTCATTTTACTAAAAAAAAAAAAAAAAAAGTAAAAACATAAAATAAAATTCGACAAAAGTATTTGATACTTTCTATATGATTAACAATTGTTATTTATATCTCATTTCTTTTCATTCTTATTTTTTATACAGAAAAATATATATAATAGAAGATTAAGTTTATTATAAAATTAAAAAATTTCTATTCAAAAAACACAACGAAGTGAAATATAAATGATCTTTTATATTTATTATAATTATTTGGATATAAATCAGAGCTAAATAAATTGTATATGAGATAATTAAACATTGTTAATATTAAAAATACTACGAAAGATTGTATTAACGAGATTTAATTTGTTTCTAATATAATACTTATATTTGTTATAATTAACATACGAGATCGAGAATGTTCTATAATTAATCGTTCGTTTGTAGGTGAATACTTATCAAGTAGCCATCTCTTCGAATGGCACACATTCTTTCGTTGAATTATTATATCCAGAAAATGGAATCCAATGGATACAAGCAGAGTCACATCCCAATGGATTGCCAGATGCCAAGGCTCAGGCTGGCTTGATGAGCGAAGGTCGAATAACAACATTACAAGGTTCAGGCACTGATCAGATTCAAAATGCAGATAAGTAAGTCTTAGAAGGATTAATTGGAAGGAAGAAAAATCATTATATTACAATTAGCACAGTCTAACAAATTGATATCTTCTTTTTCAATCAGATGGTCAAATATTAACAGACCTGGTCACTGGGCGTTTCAAGTAGGCCCAATCGATGAAGGTGAAGATATCAAAGCTCCTGATAGTATAGAAGGTTATTATTCTCATTAGAATATAATTTAAAAAATGATAGTTTTTTAATCATAAATATAACGAAAAGAAAATTGTTTCGATTAGATACCACAAGTGGTAGTCGAATAATGAGTTGCAGAACCGGTGCCACGACTTGTCACAGTAAAGCAATTTGTATTGACTATGAGGTTGGCTTTTGTTGCAGTTGTAAACAAGGATTTTTTGGAAATGGAAAATCTTGTCAACCGAATGGTAAGTTAATCTCGCGTATAACTCAATTCTTATCTCTTAACTTTTTTTTTGTGTTCATTAAACGTCAAACTAAATTTGTACGTATTCGAAACAATTTATGTGCCAGTGATGTTAGAGATTTGTCATCTGATCCTTTGAAATGAAAGAGATCGTTTTACGTAGTTACAATTTAACTGAACAAGAAGACTCCCTCGTGTTTTTCGAGTTCTTCTCTAACTACTAATTGACACCATCAAAGAAACGTTCTTTGATGTAGCTCGTCACTCGAGAATAAGGAATCTTTTTAAATGTCGTTTCTTCGAAAAGATCTAGCTTAACACAAAGCAACACTGTTTTCGTCGTTGAACAGATAAATGTCTCGTAGTAAGTACTCGACTTACAGTATGTTTTCTCTGATCTATTCATAGTTTACGAGATCTCTCCGTTTCTTGGTAGACACTCGTAAAATGTCGGTCTTACAATTAAAGTACCGTGAAAACTTTTGAACATTTCTTTTGATGAGTGTAACTTTAACGATTTTTGGAATATATACATAGTTCATTTTGTATCTTTTTTAAAAGGGAACGTAAAAAAAAAGTAATGATGTCTGTAAGGATAACAGACGATCCCAATAGAGCTCTCTTTTCCTTAAGATCGATTTTTCAGACGTTCCTCTTCGCGTCATTGGTCGTATTTCTGGTAAGATCAATGAAATTGAGTTTCCATCGAGGGATCTTCAATGCTATGTACAAACCAAAGATGGAAGGACATACACTGCTTTGTCGAGGGTACCAGAAGAGATAGGCGCAAGTTTTCAACTTTTGAGTAATCTCGGTGGTGTAATTGGTTGGCTATTTGCAAAACCAATCAGTGAAACTAAAAATGGATACGAACTTACAGGTCTGAATATAATCCATTTCTATTTAATCCTTCCTGTTTTACGATCGAATCAATCTTTAATAAATCATTCTAATTCCAAACCTATCTTATATCAATTTATTTCATTTTGAAACAACGAACTAGTTCGAATTTACCATTCGATCACGGATTCTCAAAGTTATTTCTAATCGATTCTTTTAGTTCTATAACAAATAAGCTGATTAAAATCAATCATTTGATATCCCTTCAGGTGGTCTATTCAATCACACAGCTGAGCTTCTTTTTACGTCCACTAATGACAGAGTGACCATGCGAAATAATTATCAGGGATTAGACGTCTTCGGACAATTGAAAATGGAAGCAGAAATAATAGGGAAATTGCCGTATTTAGAATCAGACACAAAAGTCGAATGCGGAGATCACGATGAAGTTTATACAAGATCGGAAACTGGAATATTGCGTTCTCAAAGTGAAAGAACTTGTAAATTGATCAGTGGATACGGTGAACGGGAATTGATTTTCACTCAGGATCAAACAATCGTTTATAACGAATGTCCATATGCAGAAAATGATTTAGAAGAAGATTCGACTAGGTTAAAATTCCATAGGGGTGTAACAACTTATGAAGCAAGAGAAGGAATTATTAGATTTGCTGTTAATACAAAGATTGCACCTTTAGAAGAGGAAGATCCATGTATACAAGGTAGAGAAACATGTGGAGAACATAGTTCTTGTGTCGTTGATGAAGACAACTTCAAATGTGTTTGCAATCCTGGGTAAGTATCTTAAAGTCATAGACTTTAATATGCTAGAGTAATAATCATCGAATTGGACATTCCAAAAATTAAACAAACAAATTCATGACGCGATTCATTCGATCGATCTATGTTTGCTAAGATATCAGTACCTTTATGAAGAAGATGGTAGCGCCATTTGCGTGGATGTCAACGAATGCACTGCTGGTAATCACATGTGTTCCCCCGATGCTCAGTGTATCAATCAAGAAGGAAGTCACGCTTGTCATTGCCGACCTGGTTTTTCAGGAGATGGACGAATTTGCGAAAGTAAGCGTACTTTCTACTTTCTCAATGATCGGTAATTTACAGGCTGTCAGTAAAAAATTAAAAAAAAAAAGAAGTTTCTCTATTAATATTCAAATATTACATTTTATTTGATCTTAGAACTTCCTTCTTGTGAAGATATTCGTTGCCAAACTTACGAGGTGTGTATAATAATAGAAAATACACCGACTTGCATTTGTTCTCCTGGCTTTGATCAATCTGATCAAGGCTGTTTCCCCATTAAACATGGTAAGTTTTATCTATGGAGTAAACCTTACCAATATACGGTAACAATATATTTTATTTTTATCAATTTTTATAGTCTCTTGTGATATCGAGAACAATTGTTCGCCCAATGGTATGTGCAGTTTCGATGGAGATAAACAAAAGCACGTTTGTATTTGCTCGGCTGGTTATATCGGTAAGTGTTATATCGATTTCATTGAATTCACATATCGAATTGATTTTATTTCTTGAATATCAGGGGATGGATACACTTGTTATTCTGAAAATGATACGATAACGGAGGATACACCGCAACCGCAATGTTCGGACGAATCTTGTTGGTGTCCATCAGGATGGAAATTGCAAGATGATACTTGCATCAGAGAAGAGGACAGTTATACAACCGTTGACTATATTCGAGATTGTAAGTTTCACAATTAATCAAATGTTTTAATGAACTCAATTCTTTTCCTTGAAATATGAATTTGTGGGATTTATACTGACCAAGGTAATGAAATTCCTTTGCGAATTACATTTTACTTAATGCTGAAGTTTTCGGCATGTTTGAATTAACTTAGCATGCAGTATACCTTTGCTTGACATTTATGAAATATTATATTTATTTGAATCCGTAATGTTTGCAGTTTTACATTGAATAAAAAAAAGGGAAGAAAAATAAAAAAAAAAAGTAAAATTAATTGGTTAAGAAATGTATGCACGTTTAATATGATAGAATTAAAGTATTGCCAATCAACCAAGAAAAAAATGTCTTGCATGAAGACTATTGCTAACGATCTATGGTTTCTACTGCATCGTACATTTTAGTATCGGCACGTCCACTTCCGGAATGTTTTGAAGATGACTGCATATGTCCATGGGGATACAGTTATGGTCATCGAGAGAAGATTTGCATTCCTATCCCAGGGTTCAACCACAATACAATGGGTCCAACTGGATTTCACCGTACGATCCGTTCCCGCTAGGCTTGAACAAGTTTAATCTACTAACAAACATTTCATATATGCTTTGGCACCATCCTTTTGATTTTATTTGATAATATTTTTCATTACAAATGCAGTATAACTTCTGCGAGGATAAAATATCATCCTATATATTTTTCGATTATTTTATTATTTTTTAATATTATTCATAATGCGCTGCCTGGCAAAAAGGCAATTTGTTATAATTGCTTCACGCTTGTCTCCAGCATCATGCAACGTGGTGAATAGATGTCATCCTTACGCTCAATGCGTCTACGTACCAAACACTGGCGATTACGAGTGTCGTTGCAATCTCGGATACGAAGGTGACGGTATAGAATGCACGAAGAGAGGTAAATTAAAATAATTAAAGCATCATGTTTCTATAAAAAAAATAGAACTCTTTTCTTAAAGACAAGTTCATACATTCACGAGTTATATATTACCCAAGGAATATAGTCGAGGTATGTTATAAAATCGATCATAAAAGGCAAAACAAACTTGTTATTTTCTGAACAGAGGTGTCCTGTCTGGAAGTCGACATATGTGATCCAAATGCTTCATGCCAACACGAGGAACCCATCGCAAAATGCATCTGCAATCCTGGATTCGAAGGCGACGGAACAACCTGCAGTCCTATTGGTGCATTGAGTCATCCAATTCTCTCTCTCTCATTTTTTTTCTTCTTTTTGTTATTCGAATGTTTTAATTTCAATTTTCATATATATAAAGTTCATCATCATTATTTTTTCATTTCTTTAGAATTTGTATTTAGATTTTATATATATATTGAGATTGATTAATATTATTTTTACTGTTTTGTAATTTTTTAATGTGATGATTAACTCTGATAGACACAATATTATTTTCAATTATTTAGACGAATGCAACGACAATACGGATTGTATGAAAAACGAGAGATGTACGTACAATCCAACGAGTTCTCGTTACGAGTGCACCTGCAATGCAGGTTTTAGCATGGTCGACGGTCAATGTGTAGTTGCGGATTGTTCGACGAATCCATCGCAATGCCACGTTAACGCTCAATGTGTTTCCACTGGTGATGGCGGCTTCAAATGTTCTTGCATCGATGGATATCACGGTGATGGTGTACGACAGTGCATCGAAGATCACATCGGTTGTAATGTTATATTCAATTGCGGAAAATTTGCAGCATGTGGTTATAACCAAACGACGACAAATTACGTTTGCATCTGTCAAAAGGTTCGTGTTGAAGCTTTATTTTTTTTATATATAATATTTAATTCATTCATTTTAGTGTAATATCATTTTTTAATTTAATCCAAATACCTAGAAAATGTATAAAATTTGGTTGTATTTTAAACAAAACATTCTGCTTGAAAGTAAACAGCTCTTTGTAGTTTACCGATCGTATTGTTTCCAATTTACGATAGTAGGTATGTGTAAGCTTTTAGCGAAAAATTTTTACTAAAAAGAAAATCTTGCCTAGAGATTAGGGGGTTTAAAAAAAAAATATTTTTGTTGATAGATAGAATCCGTTAGTTAACGTTATTAGCAGTCTACGGGATGATGTATTTATTCAAACGAAAAACGATGAATAAGCACAATCAATTTTTTCTTTTTTTTTTTTAAATAGTTAACACAGCGAACGATTCGATACATAATATAAAATATTTCTTTGCCATACAATTCTTTTTTCTTTATTCTTATTCAGCAATCGAATGAGATTTGTAGAACAAAGAATGATCGATACTTAAGTGTTTTATATATTTTATTATTAAATATAAAAAACATTTCGAGAAAAGGTAATAAGCGTTTCGATACATTTTATTTTAGGGTTATTACGGAGATGGTTTTACCTGTCTACCACAGTCGTCCTGTAAACGAGATCCAAGTCTCTGTTCTTCAAATGCTACCTGTGTACCAGCAGGAGACAATAATTTTGCTTGCGTTTGCAACGATGGCTATACCGGTGATGGTACTAACTGTCGGACAAGACCCAAACACGATGCAAATTTCCTATTGGTGAACCAAGGAATGGCAACTTTGAGGATACCATTCGTACCGACTCCAGATAATTTAGGAAGTCCGATACACATAGCATACACTCAGATGTCTATCGCAGTGGATATCGATTGTTCTAATGGAAAAGCTTATTCAAGTGATATAACTGGTACGAATTGAATAATTATTTTTCTTCTTTTTATCGTTATACAAAATTATACATTTGTTTGTTAGGAAACAATTAAAAAAAAAATAAAAAAAGAAATCTATTAGACGTATTTATTAAAAATACGTAATTTATCTCGTGGTTTGATTTCATTAATCGCGCGTTGATCATCATTCGTATTTATGCGCGTATGACAAATATAGTCGAGAAAAACAAAATTAAACAGGGGTGAAAAGATAGATATTTTAAAAATAGTAATAATAATTCGAATGCGATTGTACGATTGAAAATAAATAATTCGATCGCGAAAGGAAAGGCAAATTGTTGTAGCGAGATTTGTGGAGGATGAGAAATGAAACACTAATGCAATGCAATTATACATAGGACGTAACTATTAATGTTTAAACGGTAGCCATTGAACCTGCGTTGCAATAAACAGAGGAAGGTTAGGAATAATTCAGAAGGGAACGATCCCCGTTGGTTCAATTTCTTTGTCGAGAAAGAACACCATGGTAATTCGATTATTAAATCGAAGGATTTTCGAGGAAATAACATTTAAGATTAAACGTGATTTATGATAGACTTATTTAAATTAGAAGGAAATATTAAGGGGTAATCTATTTCCTTAATGATTTCTAAAACAATCATTTCATTGATTAACACATTACAAGAATAATTAAAAGAAAATATACGCGTTCATTTATATCCAATATAAATTCTATTAGAACATAATACAATATATTGAAATGAATGAATTAATTTTCATTATTTTTTCTTATAATGATGTCATGATTTTTATTTCTCAGGTAACAGAATACTCGAGCTGAGTTATAACGGTTCGATTGTCGATGTATTCATCGATAAGGTCAGCAGTCCCGAGGGATTGTCGGTCGATTGGGTCTCGAGGAATATTTTTTGGACCGATTCCGGAAAAGCCACCGTAGAAGTGGCCAGTCTTGAAACGAAGAAACGTAAAGTCCTTGTCTCGGATGGATTGGTTAATCCTCGGGGAATCGCCGTACACCCGTATCGAGGGTAGGAAAGAATACTAGAGAACGTATAAAAGAGGGAACACTATAGAAAGAAAGATAAATCGCTCGGTGTTGTCTCGTGAAACTATTTCTCAAAGGGGTCGTACATAAAAAGTCGATTAATTATAAGAGAAGATACCTTTTAAATTCGATATACAAGCTGAAACATTTTAAATGAGAACATTTCAGTCGGTTTTCTTGCTTTACGATAATATTTATTAAGTAATATATAGTTAATTATCTGTCACATAAACGCGTTGAAACAAATATTTTCTCTTAATAAGCTCTGATAACTTTCATATAGATGATATTATTTAATTGCATTTAAAATTTTTATATCAAATACATTATAAGATTATATACAAAATAATATCAATTTATTCTATAGCAAATACGGATTCATGAAATATTTCTTTTTTTTTTGTTATAAACCTCATTTATCGTTCATCGTTAATTAATTCTAAAAGCGTTCAAATGTTCACATTTGATTGTTCCACCATTTGTTATGTATATATTATATAATAATTCATTATTAATGAGTAAGGTCTTAAAAAATCTTAAAAATATTTCTTGATGAAAGTTAAATATTAACATTTTTCCTTTATTTTCTTTTCTTTATATTAGTAAAATATTCTGGTCCGATTGGAACCGTGCCTCGCCAAAGTTGGAATGGGCTAATGAAGACGGCACAGGCAGAGAGATCTTCCTTCAAGGAGATTACGTTAAGTTACCAAATTCATTAAGTATCGATTGGTCGTCTGATGAACTTTGTTGGGCCGACGCTGGAACTTTCACGATAAGTAAGTACACACCGGTTGGTTGATCTATTAATTTTCTACCTCCGTTATCTTTTCTTACCTCAGCAATATGCTAATCTTCAAATATTAACAAACCAATCGATTGATTATTTCTTTTTTTTTTCCCCTCTTCTTTTCTTCCCTCCTGAAACTTTTCTTTTCTTTTTCTTCATCACAGCTTGCTACGATATCGATAAGAAAAATGTGAACGTCGTTGCGAAGGACTTGATTTATCCCTTTGGCTTGGCAATATCTCAGAATCATTATTATTGGACCGATTGGAAGACGTGAGTATTCTTGTGAAATATAAAATAATATTATTCATATGGGAAATAATAATAATAATAATAATAATACAAACAAAATATCGATATTACTCGTATTTTTTGTTTTTTTTTCTTCTTTTTTTTTTTATAGACACAAAATCGAACGAGCTTTGAAGAGTAAAAAAGAAATACAACCTGCATTATCGATTCCACCTGGTGGAAACGGCAAACTATATGGAATTGCTGTAGTTCCAGAGACATGTCCCAGAGGTAAGATGATTTTATCAACAAAATAAATAAAATATGTAGAAAAATCATCATTGCATTTTTAACTCTACCTTTTTACGAGTTAGCGTCACTTCTCTATTAACACCTTTTCGCATTTATTCAATACTATCAAAGATGTCGCGTTATTTTTTTTTACCAACTCTCTGAAATAAATAATACAGGGTTTTTGTTGTTTTTTTGTTTCTCCGAACGGAGTACCCATACATGTTACTAATAATCCAACGTAGCTGTAGGCTGTTGACTATATACAAAAGAATAATAAAAAAAAAAAAAAAAAAGAAAGAGAAAAGCAAAAGAAAGGAATATAATGAAATGTCTTGCATATTAAGTATACGCGTACGACACGATGGTGCGTCAGTCACGCAACAAGTGGCATTCGAGGGTTGACTTGAAACTCGTAAAAGTCGAGTTTTTGTAATTTTTGAATAAGATCTACCCGCAAACAACCTCATTCTCGTTTTTCTTTTTATATAATATATATGTATATTTATGTATCTCTTTCTTTTTTTCCTACTTTAAAATTAACTTTGAACATTTTTCTTTACGCTCTCTTAGCAAGTATTCATATAATGCAAAATGTTGTTTTTCAAGGACCATAATAATTTATTTTTAGAATATACACAGAATAAGTATATATAAATATGTAAATATATTTTTATACGTTTACCAATTTTTTTCCCATTTATTTTTCCTATTTGTTTCTGTAATAGGAAATTATTATTGAGATAAAATAGAATCAGAAAAAATAAAAATATATTTGTTGGATATTTATTTAAACAAAATTTATTTGTCTTGTCAATAGTAACGAACGTCTGCCAATATGCAAATGGAATGTGCAACAATGATCAATTATGTTTGCCCGATGGACAAGGTGGTAGGACATGTGCTTGTGCTGACGATGCTACAGAACCTTGCACGGATTCTAATAATTCTTCGTAGTAGTATTCTCGAAAGAAAAAGAAAAATAAGAGAGAGAAGAAGGAAGAAGAAGAAGAAGAAGGAGAACATGTGAGAAAACGAATCCTAATATTCGATGATAACGAAGCTAGGATAGCATCTGAAAAGTTCGTGAGAGCAAAAAGACGTTTCAGAGACAAAAAAAGAGAAAAAAAAAACAGAAAGAGAGAAGAGGAAGAGAGAGAGAGAGAGAGAGAGAGAGAGATAGAGAGAGAGAAAGAGTTAGTCGACGTTCAAAGTATCCAATTTATTATTATTAGATAGTGTGTAAATTATAAAAAGGTTATTATTAATATTAATTAAAACATTATTATCACTCGCGACATACTTGAAGTAACATTACTCTCTTTTACGTTGTTTTTCTCTTCTTTTTTTCTTATGATTTGGATTTTTTTTTTAATTTTTTTTTTTTTTTTTTCAATTTAATACACATTAGATAGCAGTTTATAAATGAAGCTGTATATGTCACAGCCGCGTTATTTAATAAAATTTAAGAAAAAAGGGATGACAATTCGTATTGAACGATCCTTAAAACCCGTCCTCCCCCTTGTTTCCTTCTTTTTCGTATTTTTATTGCAGAAAACTGCTGAGAAGCATGCTGAGATTCTACAATATATTGTCCATTTTAGAAGATTAGGACTACCTCGGAACGAGATACCTCCCAGTTGTAATTATTGTTGTCTCGAAAATGCAGTAAAGTATGTGATAATAGGTTTAATTGTAAATTATTCTTTGATAGTGTTAATTAACAAAATTCTATTTACAACACAACGGTGGATATAGCAATGGTATGCTATATGGTTTATTATTTTTATTTTATTATTTTCTAGGGTTTTTTTTTTTTTTCAAGTAAACCACGAAAAACAATTTTAAGTTTAAAGATATTTATTCGTATCATAAAAATAAAACGAAAACTAAATCACGTTGACAATGTGAAATATCGTAATTTATAAAAATTCTAATAAGTTGTTTGGTATAATGTGAGAGGTATCCTTACTTTGAGAAAACATTATATTTTATCGAAAGTTGTACGATACCATAAAAAATAATGAAGATATAATATCACGTTCAACATTACTAAACTGTATATAATATATACAATCTCATTGTTCGTTATAGTATACTAATTAGCGAGCTTCCGTTTAGCTGACGATACTAAATTGAGCTTGTATAAAAATAGTGATAGTGTAAGGAAAAGAAAAAAATAAAAAGCCCTTAAAAAGGGTCGTTCAATAATAAGATAAAAGAAGATAGAGAGTTAAGAATAAAAGAAAAAGGTACCAAGGTAGAGATAAGACAGTGACCTCGTAGACTGACTATGAATCTTATTGTTAGACTACTCGACGAAATTTTTCCTGCGAGTGGGAGAAGAATTTTTTTTTTTATAAATCATGTCCCCTGAGAATTCTTTTCGTTCGCGTTATAGAGACTATCTTTTATAAAAGAAAAGAAAAAAGCGTGGAATGAGGAACGTCGCGTTTTGCAAGCCCACAAGAAATCTTCATTTTTGTTTTCTCTTCGGTGAAAAAGATTGGAAATGATTTGACGTTATTTGTAATTGGCATAATAAAGAATTATTATTGTTCTTTTTTCTTTTCTTTTTTGTTTTACATTCAAATGTAAAGAAATTAGAATACAATATTGATATTTATATTGTATTAAACCCGATACATTGGAGAAACTTCGTATATTTATTATTAAGTATTTATTTAGGCTGTAATTATTAAACACACAAGCGTCGATCTTCTTTGAATTGAATTTATCGATAGGATTATTTTTTATTGATCTCATGTGACTGTTAATACTATACTAATACAACCGATCTCTCTCTGCGAAGTCCAAATACATCTATTTATTAGATGGATAGAGAGAAAGAGCTTTTAACTGATCTGTAACTGTCAATTAATTATATCAAATGTTTCATTAATTTGAAATGATAATTTATCGGACGGAAAGAGCATTATTTGATTGGAATATTCTCATTTAGAATAAGCTAACATTTTTGTTCGTAAGATAACTATCTTAATAATTAGTCTCTGTTGGTGTTGGATCGAAATGTAAATATATATATATACAAGTTTTGAGTATATTTCACAATTGACAAAGAGTAATTAGAGAATATATATTATACGTTCTATATTCTTGTTCTAACAGCATATAGCTCAATTAAATCTAAAGTTATATATCTTACAAAATTATATTCTGAAATATTTGACAATTTAAATTTTACCCGAGTACAAAAACTACAAAAAAAAAAAAAAGAATTAGAATAACAAACAATGATTGAAACTTTTCTATTGATTGAGAAGAATTTGAAAGTGTCGATGTGAAAATAGCCTTGCACACTGTATCCGTAATTCGTCTCCGATTTTCAATTTGCGTGGCAGGTCCAGTTTCAGCCGTTCGCTAAAGGAGAGAGCAAATGAACGTACGAATTGAAAAACGTCGGTATTCCGGGTATGTCATTGACGTCCATTCGATCGTACCGTTGCTGAGAGGAAGAGAAAGGGAGAAATATTCTCTTTTGGGTTTCTCACTTCGATTGCTACGAATGCTATATTACCTTCTCTTCTCTTCTTCTATTGTTTTACTACTTCATGATTATTTCCAACAAATTTTTAGTCGGTGCGATTGTATTTTTGATCAAAAGACCGTTAATAAGCTTAAAGAATTGAAATGCTTTTATCCATGGTATAAATGGACATTAACACAATCATTACGTGCTTTTGAACAGTTTTTAACTTTTCTAATTACGCTTAAATGAAAATATATTAAATATCCCAGCAGTCAAGTTGTTAATATTTCTCGAACGGATTTTCATCAGTTTATTCTTTTAAAATGTTCTACAATAATTTCTCGTTTATCTAACTGCATACATTGAATTATATGAAAAGTGCCAATTAAAACGATTTCTTCAGCAAATCATAATGCGTTTGACTCGTTTAAAATGTACCGTTTTATTGTTAGTCGAATCTCTCGTTGAAATTTTCTACGTACCTACATAATAGTAAATTGATTTATTTGCAACATATATATATATATATATTATATTATGGAACCATGGGAGAGAACGAATAATAGAAAGAAATTCAAAGAATTTTAGAATTCAAACATCAATTAGAAATTTCCTATGGCTTTTACGATAATAAATTGTTCTTATAATCACTGCAATAATTGTTATCAGTTCACATAGTTCTGTAAAATTTCTAGAACGATTTATAATCCGTGCAAGAGATAGACTCCGAATGAATTATCATTCTAAATGAAAATACTTTTTCTTCCGGACGGATTATACAAATGAATTGATTAGAGACAAATTAATGGAAATAACTTTTTCAAAGTATATAAACGTATATAGTCTAACAGAAAAAGAAAAAGAAAGATTTAAAAAAGTATCGTTTTATTTGTTGAAAAATCTTGTAAAAATAAGAAACACGTAGAGAGGTTATAAATAAAGAACTCGTATGGTTCATAATCTGTGGATCAAAATGTTTTTTGATGTTTTTCGTTGATATGACGGCTGACTACTGATTGTCCGTGACTACTTCATGCGTTTACATATACGTTGTTGTATGGCTGCGACAGTATTTTATTGCGAGGGTAGTATGTAAAACTAAAAAGAAAAAAAAAGAGAAAGAAAGGAATAAAAAAAAAAAAAAATAGAGAAAAATGAAAGAAATGAGATAGAAAGATAGATAGAATAAAGGGTAAGATAAATAGAGTGGGAGAAAGAGATAGAGAAAGTTTTCCGAGAAATATAGGGATAGAAAGAGACGGAGAAAGTGAAAGGGAAATAGTGCGAAAAAGAGAGAAAGAGAAAGAGAAAGAGAGATAAATAAGGTAGAGTAAGTTTAGGGATGGATAGTGGTAGAAAGAGATAGAGTGAGTGGGGGTTGAGCGAGAGAAAGAAGGGGGATGGAAGCAAAGTAGTAGTCGGTAGTCAGTCGGCGGGCGAACACCGCGTGCGACGCATCGCATTCGCTCTTATCTCGCGTTCTGACTCTTTATAGATATTTGACAACGTGATCTCACGCTCCAACAGAGTGCAACACGTGTGATAATATTTTCCTTTTTTTTGTTTTCAAAAAAAAAAAAACAAAGAACAAAGAGAACAAGAGAGAGAGAAAGAGAGAGAGAGAGAGAGAGAGAGAGAGGGAGAGAGCCAGGGGGAGGAGTGCAGATAGGAATGACGATAATTCAGAGGCACGTTTTATCCTTGAAATTGTTTGTCCATCTCTCTTCCTATTCCTTGTGTGTTTTTTAAATATGAATTTCGAATATTTTTTTTTCTATTCGATGAATTATTATGTTTTATTTTTTTTATATATCTTTATTGTCAGTCCCTGTTTTTGTTATCTTGTCGTTAAGGAGAAAAGAAACGACTTTTAATATAGCGTGGCGGAAGAGCAAGCATGCACCGGTCTGAAAGTTTCTCACGATAGAAGCTCGTTCGTAGCAGCGATCTGGACCGATGCACGCCGGAGACAAAAATATCTTAGAAAAATCTCGGCGCTCGGCCAAGTGGCCTCGAGGTGGAGAAGGTGGAGAAGGAGGAGGAGGAGGAGGAGGAGGAGGAGGAATACTCTGCTATAAGCGATTCTTTGATAAGATAATTTAGTGGGAGACTTTTGCTATCTTGGACAAGCAAGATGTATACGGAGATAAAAGAGAAAATTTAGATGGATAGTGATTGAGATAGATAACACGGGGACAAATGCGTTTAAGCATTACTATTCTGTACACGTGAAATCTCTATCCCGCCCTCCCCCGCCCCCTCGTGAATTCTTTTTAATATATTTTCATTTGTAACCTGGAGAGATATCCTCCCTCCTACCCCTCCCCTTCTCCTCTCACCACCACCTGTAAATTGTTATTCATCTTAGAAAACACAAAAAGGCAACATCTTCGTTTAAACGATGAAATACATGTCGACAAATCTCGATAAAGGGGATGGATGGGTTCGTTCGTTCGTTTGTTCGTTCAATCGTTCGTTCGAGCACAAACGCGTTTTATCATTCAAATAGATTTATAGATTGTGAAAATTATGGTGGTAGTATACTACGGAATGAGAAAAAAGAAGAAGAAAAAGAAGAAAAAAACGTTGCTACGATTTATGTGATTATTGTGCCGTGGCACGATTTTCGTTGTAATGTTCTACGGTAAAAAGAAATCCCAAGTGGATCATAAAAATTACAATGGTGTACATGACTTCGTAGGTCCATTTTGTTAGCTCAAACAATATTAGAATCTTTCCCTGGAATATAAATGTTCCTAAGTAAACGTCTGTAATAGTCCATGGAAGATAGATAGATAGATATGACTGTATAAATTGTGGATATTCTATAAAGAGTTTAATGTAGATACAACGTTTATTCAAGTACGAAAGTTTACATTATTAATAACATAATGCAAGCAATTATTTTCGCTTAAGTTAAATGTACAAATTATTTTATTCATGTTCATTTGTGTTCGAAAAATACGCAAACGTTCGAAAGAAGAATTTTTTCTAAATTCTCTCTCTTTTTTTTATTTTTTTTTTTATTTTACTTTTATTCTCTTTATATTTTTCTGTATGATGACATTTTCTTCTGTAAAATAAATGATAAAAAAGGGTTAAGACGATACTACGTCATTCGTGAAATTAAGAAAAGACTCGTGACTGTTACTCTCGGAGATGTTAGAAGAGATGAGAATGCTGATTGAAATTGTGCTATTACGTGCATGGAAAGTCAAGTACGAAAGGATAAAAAATGATAGAAAAAGGAATAAACTACGGATGGAGATGTATTGAGAGAGAAAACGATAGAAATAAAGTTGTACACATTTATTCAAACAAATTGTTTACTTTAAACGGGATGACTTTTCTTCGTGATTATGCACGTTTAAACGTACCTGCCAACGAGATGAACGAGAGAGGTGAGAGGAAAAAGTACTGTTGGAAAAAGTAGAAAAACATGAGATGGAGTGGTTTTAAGAGAGAGAGTAGGAGAGAGAGAGAGAGAGAAAAAAAGAAAAGAGAAGAATTTACAGTGATAGAGGCCGGACCATTGCTGGAGTTGTTTCTTGTCACCGACGAACCTCCGAGCCGTTTTTATCCTTTATCTCAGATTTGTCGACGTTGCTGCCGACTAAAGGACCCTCTTTCCAACAAACCTCTTTTTTTTATGTTTTTCATCGGTGAGAAAAAAATGCATTCACGAGAGAAACATAAATGCTGACTATTCCCCAGAACAAACTCTCTTTATTTTTATACCCTTTTCCCTTGTTGCGGTTTCGCGTTTTTAATAGAGAAACGTGAAAGTAGTTCACGTTGATAAAATAATTAATTTACGTATTAGTATTAAAACATCTCATTTAATCGTATCATTCAAGGCTACATTTTATTTGCTTTATTGGTAGAATTATTTTAGAATTGTAGTGTGTCAAACGTATTAAAGCTGATGTACTAGAAGCTTCAGTTGATATCTTTAATGTTAGGATTTTGATGAGAATCATTTTAATGTATTAATTCAATGATAATTTGTGTTAGTAATATTGCTAATAATAATAATAATAATTCTTGCAAATTAATAAATTTAAATTATAAAATGAAACGATAATATATCCATTCCAAACTTGTATATATTGTTATACAAATGCGAACAATTGCTTTACATTGTAAATTATTAAAAATAGTAAAAGTGATCTAACGTGATTGAATAGAAATCATTATTAATATCTCAAGAAAGAACTGAAAATATATCTTGTTTTAATTAATTTAATAATTGTGAGTTTATTCGTTTGTCAATAAGAACGTTTACTAATTAAGTTTAGTCAATCTTAGTACTTATGGTTTTTTAATTCTTCTACGTTTTAGGTCTATCCTTGTTCATTAGATCTTATGTTAACACTCATTAGTTTTACTTAGACAGTTTTGAAGGAAACCTAGATGTCTCAAAGTTACTAACTATGTACATTTCAAAGCTTGGACAAATTTGTCCATGGTGTTGTTCCTTTCTCGAAAATTTAACAGGAAAGTTTAAGTACCAAAGATCTTAGAAATAAAGAAAGAGAAAGAAAGAGAGAGAGAGAGAAAGAGAAAAAGAGACAGAGAGGGGAAGAGAATTTTGCAACAAGGAATACGAAGAGACCGAGAGGCAAAGAGATAACTCGTTGAACGAATGGGTTATCGGTTTTCAATTTAGTCACCCGTACTTTAACACTTTCCTTTGCGACGCGGTATGATCATCTGGTGTGTACGTGCACATGAATATATATCTAGTAATGTGTATAGATATACATACATATACATAAGTATTTGTACGGAATAGTTCAAAAATTAGCAATCCATTATTGTGAAACATTTTTTATTTTAAATGGTCAATGTAGTGTTCAGGAATTATTACTTTTACGTGAATTTCCTCGAATAACATAAGCTTGGAAAAATAATATATGTTTTATTAAAAGATTAAAAATAATACTGGAGAAAAAAATTTAGGATATATAAAAAATGTATTATTATAAGTAATTTATTATTATGAATATTGTTAGTGTTGTTAATGAACAAATGTTGAATAGTTTTAAAGCAATAATAATGAATCAAACACGTCAAATTTATGATCGATACTTAAGTTTCGGAAAGATTTATTTTTCTATTGTTAATATTATGTTTCGTATTTATTAGATTTAAATAAAACATATCAATTTTCTTTTTTTTAAACATTTCTTCCAAATAATCTACTTAATTAATTATAAAATTGAATGTTATTTAAATATTCGAATGATTCATCATGTCACTTTAAAGTACACATATCAATATCAACATTTCGTATTTCACATCAGAGAGATTATTTCGGAATATTTTCTTTCTTTTTTTTCAATTCTCCGCGCGTTCAACTCGATCATAGTCTAAAACAAGCCAACGTATTATATCTAACTCAATCCGATTTTCCTCTCTCTCTATCTATCTATCTATCTATTTCTATCTATCTCTCTCTTTCTCTCTCGAATCGACATTTCTCACTCGAAAGAGTCGCCCAGTTTCCGGCATTTTTTCTTCACGAATCGAATCCTACAAATCGACGTCGCGAACTGGGTTCGAACGTACCGCAGTAAATTATTTTTTGCTTCGTTATCTCGCCATTTTTCTCTCTTCCTCTTTCCCTCCCGCCCTTCTCCCTCACTCTTTCTCTCTCTTTCTCTTTCTCGTCGCATAGTCGCGATACCACAATCCCTAAAATATTTATGCGCATAGATATCGCTATCACGTGCGTCGGATCGTACATTCTATACGAGACAACACACCAAATCGATAATATCGCATTCGTTCTCGAACATCTAGCAATCATGACGTACAGAGTTCGAAAGTATACGTAAATAGGATGTGTATCAAAAAATTGTTCTTACAAAGTCAGAGATGAAAGATCAAATTTATAAGTTTATATTAGAATAACGAATATTACCTATCTATAAATACGATAGAATGAATATTTGTCTCGTACAGGAAGAAAAATGAAAGAAAACAAAAATATAAGACGAAAATGAAAAGATAAAAAATAAGAAAATTAAACGATTATTATTTTAGTGTGTTTACGGATGGTGCGTGATAGTTCGGGAGTAAAGAGTGAGGACCAAAAATATTTGATAAAGTGTGTCATTGTGAAAAAAAAAAATAAAGTTATGTTAGAATATGTTTTAGGTTATTAGTGTGTTGATAACGTGTAATGTTTTTGCAAGGATTTTTTATAAAAAAAAAAAAAATCCTTATCTTTAACGTGTTCGGGATCGCGAACTCCGTCGTAGATCCGTACGGCGGAACGGTCACGAATTGTCGAGCGATAAATGAATGTTGTTACGTCGGTTAGTCGTGAACGTGACGGTGAAGAAGAACAAGAAGAAGAAGAAGAAGAGGATAAAGAGGAGGAAGAAGAAGAAGAAGAAGAAGAAGAAGAAGAAGAAAAAGTCGAGGCACGTTAGCATCACTCGATTTAAATTCATAAATGTGCGAGAGGAGGAGCCCACAATGGTGGCTCGAGTCCCGCAACAAGTTCTACTGCTACTCGTACTCGGTAAGTGGAACCAGAATTCTCTTCCTCTCTAAATTTAGGCCTCTCGCCCGGGTTAACACGATCGTTCTGCGACACCTTGACAGTATACCCAAAGTCTATGATTTTACGAGTTTATTCAACAAAACTATATCAAATATCTTTATGTGTAAGTATGTATGTATGTATGTGTGTGTGTGTGTGAGGTTTTTATATATTCTTTAATTAAAAGTAGTCACTCTAAAAAAATATGCACATTACAAAGAACTTTATTGCAGTGGACGTTTGAAATAAAAATATTTTCAAAAAAGATATCTCATATAGGATTGTTTTGTTTTTTATTACAATTCCAAAAATATTATATTATAATATAATTCAATTATTATACCATTCAAGAAAATTTCATCAAATATCTCTATGTGTGTATGTGTGTGTGTGTTGATTTTATATATATATTCTTTAGGTAAAATTACAAAAGATACTATTGCATTGGACATTTAAAATACAAATATTTTCAATAGAAATCATATATGAACGTTTATTATAAACAATAATATTAGTTAAATATGTGTTACATATTTTAAAATGCTTTTAAGATTCCAACAACACGATTATGTACTTACTCGTGTACTGCTCTGATATATTCTACTTTATGTCAGTTATAATTGCGATTTTCTTGTGCTAGAGAAAAGTACAAAAGAGGGGAAAAAACTTAGCCGACGAAAGGCAATGTAATTTACAGGGAGGTTGTAATTCGAGGACTGTACCGTTGCTCACGTTAAAACGCACGAAAGCTTGCGTTTCTGGTTCCTACATACGTTTTTCTGTTTCCCTCTTGTTCTTACTCTCTCTCTCTCTCTTTCTCTTTCTCTCCCATTCTTATAAAAAATATGCACTTATAAAAAAGAGAAAAAAAGAAAATATATAGTAAAAGAAAAAGTAAAGAGAAAGAACGTTATAATCCGGTACTACGGGGAATTCTTGTTTCCATCACACTTTTCATCGCACGCCCTTGATCTCGTTTTCGGAAAAAGATTTCGAATTTTATGTTGTTTCCTGATTGCTCTTTGAAATCGTTGTAAAATCAATATCAACAGTTAAACGTTCTTTTCCAAAATGTCTCGTTAATTTTCCTTCTTCTACCTTTTCCTTTTTTTTCTTTTCCTATTTTATTTCTTTTATCAAAAAGAGATTTTACTTTTTCCTAGAAATGTTCCAATAGAGAAAGAAAGAAAGAGAAAGAGAAAGAAAAAGAGATAGAGAACCATCCAATCCTTCGAAGTGCAATAACGTGAAAGTAATAGTAGAAGTTTAATTAACCAGCCTCTCGACAAGGGTAGAAATGAATAAAGTTTCGTCAAAGAAAGGGCACGAAGGGTGTAGAAAGACCGACGTTTAGGAAGAGCAGGAAAGGAACCAGTACTTTCGTTCGTTATAATCAAACGGTGCAAGTAGTGAGTACCTGTCTTTAGTCAGACCTTCCAACGAGTTAGATCATGCGCAATGATAACCTGTCGAATGCAATAGGAAGGAAATAGGTACCGATAGCAATTAAAATCTAACTTTCCTACTACTTATGATATGCCATAGGTATATTTATTTAGTTATTTACTCGACTACTAACAGAATTATATTTATGAATATTTTTATTAATTGTCAACGCAATCTCGTAAATATTATCGTAGATTTAGTGTTTACAATTTTTAACGAATTTTATGACGTAAAAACAACGTTTGAATATTCGAAAAAGTTTATTTAACTTTATTTACGTTACAAACGAGATTCAAATAACGTTTATTCGGTTAAATATATTTACTTTAGAAGACATTCAAATCAAGTTAGTAATAATTTATCTCTAAGCAAAATTTGATTTATTTCCTTCCCTGGGGGAATATTAGGAAGTTATCATTTGAAATGAGATATATATATATAATATTACTTGAAATGAGTAAGTACTATCTATAATCGGTAGTATTATACATATATTATACGTTTATAGTATTAGGTATCTTTATCGTAACATTTTGATTTTAAACGAATAGTAAGTAATTACATTAAAAGAAACGGGGAAAAAAAATTTCTCATTATAATTTCTAATTATCGACGTTTTTTTCATTCTCTCGCTACTTTATAAACATGAGACCTGAAAAACGCCTCGTCATCAAAGAATATCTCTGGAAAAATTCCTATAGGTCTATTTCACTAAGTTCATATAATTCCGTAATATAAAAGGTGGTGACTAAAATTGGTGGAAAAAAGTTAAAAACACCTCTTACTACCCTTTTATGTATTCGACACGACACAAAACGACGCAACACCCTTTTATACGGTATACGAATATTTATGCAATATTTATGGAGACAAATGATAGAAAGTATTTACTTTTAATAATAATAATATTTGTTTGCATATAATTTCTAACTATTTCTACACGTATTATTCGTACAGCTTATGTATCATTAGTTACAATGACTTCGTTAAACATAAAGAGTAATGAGTGATCATCGTATCGAAATGCGATAGGATTCTGCATCATTAATTGTCCGTGCACATTCGATAAACAATTCGGTGCAGCCGCTTTGGCCAATTTGTGGGTTTACGATCTGGCGTCAGTTTCGTTCGATAGGTCGATTAAACGGTTTATCGACGCGCGAATGGCACATTATTTTCACAAATAGTGATTTTTCCGGATGGTTACGTCATGTTTTACGTGAATATTATCAATAATTAAAGATACGGTATCTGATATTGCATTCGCGATAGTTGATCATTATTTATCTTCTTTAACGTTTACGATACATCTATTGGCATACTTCGAGTCTATTTCATAATATCATATAATGTGAAATTATTTGCTAGTTTTTAAGAGAGAAAAAAAAGAGAATACCAGGAAAACAAGAACAAACAAAAAAATATGAAATGACCAATACGTTCAAATCGTTTTTGTTCGTAACGTAACGAAAAGTTGTAATAAAAAAAAAAAAGAAAAAATATATGTCAGTTGTTATATAAAAAACAACATTCCAATTTTTCGACATATACTACTGGTACACGTATATACATTACTGTACGTACAAATTCTACAAATTCTATGAATTTTATGAATACATCTTCGAAAGCAATATGTAAATTTCTGTGCAACGTTCCTCGCCGATATGTGTCACATTGGAAAATACTAATTTTCGATCCAATTGACAAATGCATCCGCAAAAGGGAGGGAGAAATTGATAGGAAACTCATACACGTAAATTATATTCCATATTCATACTTTTACTGTATACGGTATAAATAATTTAAATGCATTTATAAAACATGCACGCACACACACACACACTCCTTCACTCTTTCCGTTTTTTTCTTTCTCTCTCTCTTTCATGTATATAGTATATTACAAATAGGAATATTCGAAATTGATTAAACATCACAATAACAAACTCGAACATGGATAGATTAATGAAATTTGAACGTTTAACCGATCACGAGAGAATACTTTCTCGAGATGATCACGCACCCGTTTAGAAATTTCCTTTCGAGATTTCAAACGTTTTCCTGATGCACAGGACAACCATTAGTCAACCGTCGAGACGGAAACATCGATACGCTTTCGGCCGATCATAGAGAATGTGCATACGGTTCTAGCCACATCGTTAATACGTTGGGAAACACTCGATAAACGAGGGAGGCTACATCGTTTGCCGCAGCCACGCGTGCTGATCGACTTTGGCCAATTTGCGGATTATTCCGTAGCTTCGGTCGTTTCAATCGGACAGCAAGCTGCTCAATATTGCCATCCTATTCCTATTCCTATTTCTCTTCCTTTACCTAAACCTTCTCTACAATTTACAATTTAAGCGAAGCTTAAGTTGTCGAGCTTTGACAAATACCCCTACATTTCGTATGTTCGAATAATGCATTAGACAATTTTTTTTTATTATCTATTCAAAATCATAATGCACTTTTTTTTATATCTTTCACATTTTATGAAATAATTATCTTTTTTATTATTTTTATTTGGAAACTATTTTTGAAAAAAAAAAACAAGAATTTAGATAAATAAATAATAAAATAGAAATATATTAGATTTTTCAAGAATAATCATTTACATGGTAAATACACGTATCCATTATTTCACTTTCACTTTATTCCCTTATCGCAGATAATCTAATTCATTTGTCCACATAATGAATCAAATTTTAGAAAGATATATATCGGATGATCATAATTATCAATCCTCGTTGAAACTTTTTATCAATGAGTTACATTATCTTCGAGATAATGTGTTATTTATTTAAATTTTACAATTGAATTAATTCATTCTTAAGAGTATATATATTAATAATGTTTATATATCAATAGATAATTTTATTCTTGAAAGGTGTATTAAAGTTTTAACGAACAAAAGAGGAAATGCCCGTAAACAACGAAACACGTTAATTCTTTCATGGATAAAATTCACGATTTTGCGATACTTTCGAAAGTCGTAAGCTATTTTTACCTGTTTCCTTCATCTCTCTCACTCTCCCTCTCTCTATTCATCTATCTATATCTATATCCCTCATTCTCTCTTTATCTCTCTCTCGTTTCCTAACTAAGGATATCCTTCCGTTGCAGTCATACTAAGTAAGTACATTATCGGCTAGAAGTTTCGTTAGTGCTTTGCACTACCATCCCCTGCGGAAGTTGTATCTTGGTGCTTCTCGCTTCAATTTTGCATCTCTATCGTTTACAAGAGAGATAGAAGGAGAGAGAGAGAGAGAGAGGAAGAGAGAAGCGTTGGAGAATTTGGATGTAACGATATCGAACATCTTTTCTTTTACTTCTTCGGAGAAAATGCTCAATCTCGTCGACTTACTTTGTTCAACGAGAACGAAACTTTTCCCTTGCGATAAGTTCACCGTCTGTATCGCCTTATTTCGCGATTTAACCGTCTCGAAATCAGAGCTTTCGGTTTCGAAACTTTCAATCTCTGCGATTACATTAAATCCAAACGATTTGAAAAAGATCCTTTTACACGATATCTCTGC